TTTGTCTCCAGCTCCCTCTCTCTTGCAGAGAGAAACCCTGCCACTTTTTGCTGCTAACTGTTATCTGTGTACTTTTTGGACTCTGGTGCTGTAGGCTAGAGATCCCCACTTGTGGTTTAGAACCTACTCTTCTCAGAAAGGTCCAACTGGCTGTTTCAATATCCCTCTGGTGCTACAACCCTTGGTTGCCTTGCTCGCCTTCTTGAGTCTGCACCACACTACTTACCAGTTAGGTTGTGCTGGTTGTGCTAAAGCTGATTCTTCTTTCTGTCTGAGGTTATAAGGCTCCTCTCTCCCTATTATTCAGTTGTTTGTTCCAGGTGATATCTCCACAGTTTGATTGTAAATGCAGAAGTGTACTGGGAGAAGGTCAGTGTGACTTGCATTCATTCCTCCGCCATCTTGATTTCTCTCAAGAATTAAACATTTCATTCTTTTTGATATGTTGTATTATTTTTGTCTAGTTCATAATGTTATATAATTTCCTTTAAGAATTCTTTTTAATGGATTTGTCTTTGTAGTCACTTATACACTTTGTTGTCAGTTCTATGTCTTTTGGTTCTTGGTTGTGTTCAAGTGTTAAATTGAAATAGAAATAATCTCATGAATGTTTTAATAGATTTACTTGTTATGAATAATAATGTCATATTCATTTACATTGCTTTATTAAGGATAATAATAACTATCATGTATTGGGTACTTACTATATCTTAGGTATTATGTTGATTACTTTACGTGATCATATCTCATTAACTTCTCCAGCAACCATTTCAGTTACGTACTATTAGTAGACCTGTTTTAAGACTGAGGAACCTGACACACATATTTTAGGTTACTTATTGAGAGTCAACAGGCTAGTAAGTGATTCTGTCTTACTATGTATTATGTGCCTTACACTGTGCTGTGTACTTTTCTAAGCACTTCACACATATTGACTCCTTATAATAATATTAGGATTTGGTACTGTTATTGTTTCCATTGTACAGATGACGGAGCTCTCACAGGACCTTCAACTGACCCATTTTCCATTTTCCATTTTCCATACCCAGTAGAAATCTGGGTGTCAGGCTGGACGTGTGTATAGAGTGGTCAGTTGCTTACCCATTGGGCTGTGCATTGGTTCTGTAGAGGGCAGTTGCACTGTGTAATTGGGGCAGTTTTTCCAGAAAAGACACAAAGTCTCTTTAGGCATTACCTTCCCTGTCTCGCTGACATCCCAGAATTTTTCCTACCTGGACTTCTGTCTGACACTCTCATGTACTCACACACGTGCGTGCACGCACAGAACGTGTGTAATATTCATGTCATCAATTTGAAGCAGAGTACAGTGGCAAAGAAATGGGCTTCAAAGTTGTGGAGACCTGAGTGTGACTTCTCCCCCTTCTACTTATTATCTGTGTGATCTTTCGCAAGTCACTTAATTACTTAGTGTTTTGTTTTCTCAGCTGTGCCATTGAAGATGATGACTATAATAAAATATGTGGGGATTAAATAAGATGATGCATTTGAATACTTAGCCCATTGATTGGCACATCAAAATTCTCAACACATGTCAGATATTTTTGTAATTATTGATATGCAAGACCTTTTTATATATTGTGGATAATTCATACTTTGGCATATGTGTAGCTTGTGCAACTGAATTTTGAGGACTCAGAAAGAAGCCTGCTTTTATCTAGGAAATTTATTAGTCATTTTGAATCTTTATGTTCATTTTATCTTCTTGATCTTTGGCATTCCACAGCTCTTGGAATCACTTCCATCATCCTCAAGATTTAATTTTTGGTGCCCCAGTTTGTAATTGGCCTTGTATAAATGCCAACGTTTAAGGCAATTGCAAACCTGGTACCACAGTCTGTTATGCTATGTGCAATATACAGAAGTTTATGCTGTGGCTGTCACGTAGGAGGGGCAGACAGGCTAGACTACTTAACCTGAGCCCTGGAATCTCTGTTAATGACCCTTGCTCTAGGCACTGAGGCTCAAGCCAGAGTTTTCAGTAGTCAGTTTCTTAGAGCATGGAGTATCCCCATGAGTGACCCTGTTGTAAAAGCATGGTAACCTGTCCAGCCTGGGAAGGTACGAGTAGCACCAAATTGGTGTGCCTCCTCTCTTTTATGGACCAAGCCAAGTCCTGTTAAACTGTTGGTTTGTAATGACCTGCCAGGACTTCAGAGCATTCTCCTTCTGGATGTTCCCTGAAAGCATATTAAAAATCTCTGACAGTGGTTGTTGATTGAGGTGGTAGAGAGACCCCTGGAGCTGAAAGGAAGGAAAAAGGAGTGTCCCTGACTCTGCCTGAGGTCATTTTTGCAAGGGTCCATCACAGGGAGGCTCTGATAGAAGACAGCAAGAGGGATGTAAGAGTCTGGGGGCTAGAGTCATATGAACCTGCATTTGAATCTTGTCTCTTAAGTGTGCTGTTGATCAGATCATTTTGCTTCTTTGAACCTGGTTTCCTCATCAATGAAATGGGAAAAATAGTGGTACCTATCTGATAAGATTGCTGTAAGAATTAAGTGATAGTGCTTATATAAAGCAGTTAATTAAGATACACCACCCTCATGGCAATGATGACAAGAGCATCTGTAAGAAATACACCAGCAAGAATGAAAAGCAGCTTTGGGGATACTGTGCTATCCCCCTGGTCTCCTCGTAAATTCTTTTAATCTTAGGCATATATCTGTAAACTCCAAGAGAAGAGTTCAAGTCCTAGGGGTCTTCAGGGTATGAACTGTTTTCCTGTCCCTGGTATAGGAGAAATTCTGGTATCTCAGGGCTGCTGTGTTAGTGTGTACGTAATAGATCAAGAAAGTGAGAGAGCTAGAGTGAGAGGGATATACTTGAGGTCTAGGAGGCATGTTGACTTAGCAGTGGTTGTATGTGACCTATCAAATTAGCTGTTTTTCAGGAGGAAAAGTCTGTCATTTTTTGCTTCTCTCTTAGTAGTAAGGGACCATTTGTCTTTAATCATAAAGAAAGATGCTTGCTAGAGCCCTGGAGTCCCAGCTGGTTATGAGCCCAGTTCTACAGTCATGCACTTCTTTCCTTTCTAAATGGCAAATGTCGCTGTGTCCTTTGCCAAGGACTTCCTGGCAGGTGGAGTGGCTATGGCCATCTCTAAGACAGCTGTAGCATCCATTGAGTGGGTCATGCTGCTGCTGCACGTGCAGCAGACCAGGAAGCAAATCACTGCAAATAAGGAGTACAAGGCCATTACAGACTGCATGGTATGTATCCCCAAGGAGCAGGGTGTTCTGTCCTTCTGGTGCAATAACCTGGGCAATGTCATCAGCTACTTCCCCACCCAGGCTCTCAACTTTGCCTTCAAAGATAAATACAAGCAGATCTTTCTGGGCGTGTGGACAAGAGAACCCAGTGTCGGTGCTACTTTGCTGGAAACCTGGCATCAGGTGGTACTGCTAAGACCACCTCATTGTGTTTTGAATAACCTCTTGATTTTGCCTGTACCTGTCTAGCAGCTGATGTGGGCAAAGCTGGAGCTGAAAGGGAAATCAGGGGCCTCAGTGAGTGTCTGATTAAGATCTGCAAATCTTGTGGCATCAAGGGTCTGTACCAAGGCTTTAATATGCCTGTGCAGCGTATTATCATCTACCAAGCTGCCAACTTCGGTATCTATGAACACTGCAAACGGAATGGTTCCAGATCCCAAGAATACTCACATTTTCATCAGCTGGATGATTGCACAGTCCATCACAGCAGTGGCTGGGTTGACTTCCTATCCATTTGACAGTATACGTCACCACATGGTGATGCAGTCAGGTTGCAAAGGAACCGATATGTACAGAGGCACGCCAAACTGCTGGAGGAAGATTGCTTGAGATGAAGGAGGCAAAGCTTTTTTCAAGGGTGCATGGTACAGTGTTCTCAGAAGCATGGGTGGTATTTTCGTGCTTGTCTTGTATGATGAAATCAAGAAGTTCACATAAGTGATTTCTTAGTCTTCCCTCCCCCTAAGTCCCCTTCCCGAACAGGCTTGTTGTATTATGTAACATACCTTGAGTATTCTTGGCAGACTGTTGGCTGTCTATCAGTGGCAACTATTTACCGGTTGAAAATGGCAAGCAATAATATTCATCTGACCAGGTTTCTCTTAAAGCCATATCCATGATGACGATGGGACTCAATATATTTTTTATTTCAGTCACTCCTGATAAATAATATATTTGAAAAAATTAAAAAAATCTGAAATATATAAAAAAGAAAGCTACTTAAATCCATCCTAAGAGCCCTCACAAATGAAGTTTGTTTCTGATTTGGTTGTTCTTGACTTATAAGGGATTTCTAGTATGTGTTTTAACAAGTCTGATATTGGGAAACAGTATCACTGCAGGATGCTGGAGCGACCACTTTTCTCCCCACCACACCTTCCTTTCAAGTCAGAGAGCCCAACAAGTAAAATAGATCAACGGAAACCTAGAGGGCTGCCGCTTCTACCCTCGCCACATCCAATAGCAGCCCCTGAAGGCATTTCTAGGAAGGTGAGGGAACAATTTGCAAAACACTTCAGTTGGCTCTCTGGGTTATACTACCCTTTTCAGGTTGCCTTTTGTGGGGAAAGTATTAGAGGTGGCCCTGTAAATAAACAGCCCTGTTACAGAAATAGGTCTCTACTCTAATAACAGAGTGGTTGCCTACTACAGTTCTCCTTTTCTAATGCCACTGTAGCTGCAGCAGTTGAAGCCACTGACTGGGATTGACTGGATGTTTAGGGAGCTCGGAGCTCATTATGTTATGAAGTGTTGTAACCAAAGTGTGTTCCAGAGGTGTTTAGGAGATTTTGAGGCAGTGATGATGCTTTTTAGAATGTTTCAGTTAATACAAAATATGCAGCTTTTTATTTATTATCCAGTGCTGTTTTACAGAGAGCGACTTATTTACATGTTCTCTGATATGGCATGGCATAACCTGACACATTTTTGTCTGCCCATCCATCAGACTCTGAGTGTGACCTAAACTTTATCTTTCTTCCTCTCCAGGCTACAAATGCACATGTTGAATGGAGCTCTTCTAGCCTTGCTCTTTCCTGTGGTAAATACCCGACTGGTAAGTAGCCACTTCTAGGAATATACCAGCAACATACAAAACAGCATTTTCTCGCTATTTTGTTATCCATTGCTTGTCCTCACCCTTCAGCTCATGTGCATATGTGAACGTTATATATATGTATGTATGTGCGTGTGAGTGTATAAAACGTATACATATATATATATATGTATATATATGTGTGTGTGTGTGTATATATATATATATATACTTTACTCTTGAACAACATGGATTTGAACTGCACAGATACAGTTATGTGTGGATTTTTTAAAATAAGTATGTACAGTACTGTAAATGAATTTTCTTTTCCTTATGATTTTGTTAATAACATTTTTTTCTTTAGCTTATTTATTGTAAAAATACAATGTGAAATCCATAAGACATACAAAATATGTGTTAATCAATTGTTTATGTTATTGGTAAGGCTTCTGGTCAGCAGTAGGTTATTAGCAGCTAAGTTTTTGGGGAATCAAAGTTACACATGGATTTTTGATTGTATGGAGGGTTGATGCCCCTAAGCCCACATGTTGTTCAAGGGTTAGCTGTATTTAATTTTGAGGTTTGATACAGCCATATTTGGATACAGTGGAATGTGATGGGAATAGGAGTATTTTGTGGAACTTTGAGGCTGCAATAGTGGTTTAGGCCAGAGCCAGGCCAGACCAAAATGCCTATGGAACATCTTAGAGAGGTTTGATGGAGAGAATGGGGGCTGGGGGCCCCACCCATTAGACAGGTGCTTCCAATGTTTCTAAGCATCTGTAGTGTGGACTCAGTCCCATTGGACCAGGATAATCTGCTGCAGAGCTTTAACGCCCATCTACTTTGCAAGGAACCCCCTTTGGCAAGAATTAGATTCCTTCCCCATTCATCCAAACTCACAGGGAAGTCTGGGCCACACACATCCCCTGCGGCTAGCAGGTAGAATCCAATGGCAGGAGGCTGGGTGATAAACCAGCATAGAGAGAAGCAGGAGCTACAGGGCTGGGTGGCAAGACCCTGTCTTCAGATTCCCACATGTGGGAGTTTAAGGGATTAGCAGGCCATGTTAGAAAGCTCGGGTAAAGAAATCACCAGTAAATCCTTCTACTTTCTATTTTCATAACCTAAGTTTGCTTCATGCATTAAGATCATAGTTTAAATCTCAAAATGATCATCTTTACTCTTTGGATAACATATAGTTTATAAGATCTTTTCATTGAACAGTTGAAAAGTAGGTAGCTAGGGCAAGTTTTATAGCCTTTAGTCACAGAAGAAGAAACTGACACTCATGGAGTTACACACACACACACACACACACACACACACACACACACACACACACACACACACACACACACACCCCGCCCCGGGCTTAAGCCTCTCGATCCTACAGCCACAGCTATACTCACTCTCTGAAGATTGAGTCACACCCTCCCCACAAATACTCATGCATATCCTTATGCTTGTCATACTTTTCTAGATGCATTTTATACATCAATATAAATTAAAAGAAAAATCATCAATCTAAAACAGTAATTTTGAACCCTCAGTACATTCTACGTTCACCTAGGGGTATTGTGAAAAACAAGTAAACTGATGAATAAAAAAGCCCTGTTCCCCCCAGCCTCAGATCACAGGTCTCAGTCATGACCTGTGATGCAGCCTTGGTACAGTGTTTTAAAAAGTCCCTTCTAATGTGGAGCTGCAGTTGAGAGTCACCGATTTTGTGCAGTGATTCTGAAACTTAATGTCCATGCCAATCACCTAAGGGAATGGCTAAAAAATGAGGCTTGCCAGACCCTGTCCCCAGAAGGTCTCATTGAGCGTGTCTGGGGTAATACCAGGGAATGCCAATTGCATGTGCTCTCAGACCACTCTTGGAAAATCAATGTCCTAGTTGCTCAAACAAAGTTACTTCATGTGTATCTGTGGTCCAGGGTCAGCATGAGTTGAGTGCTGCTTGTTAGAAATGTAGAATTTCAGGCCCCACTTAAGACCTACTGCTTCAAAATCTGGATTTTTAATAGGGTGCCCAGGTGGCTTATATGGCCTAGCTTCTTTGTTCCAAAGAGCAGGAAGTACCTTGTAGGTTGATCATTCAACCTCTTGAAGTGAGGAATGCAAGGCCAAAAGAGGGCAGGCCTTACAGCAGGACCTTAAATAATGTTATTTTCCTTATAACGAGATGCCCTAGGAACTTAACTCCTGTTTATATCAATTAGCCTATGATAAAATTGGTTTCATTATACATCATTTCCCTTATATTTGCCAAACCTATCGATGATGTTAAATGAGGACTTACTCTGTTGTCTCTATTGTCTGTGCTATAATAGGCCTGGCACATTAAGTTCAGTGTTCCCCTGTTAACTGGGTCCAGCAGGCACAGGCTTCTGACATAGGTACCTATGCCCTCCCTCTTGCACTTGCCCATGCTGTGTGGCTTACTTGACTTCACATGGTGAACTGTAGAATCAGAACTCCTACCTTGGTCTTAGAGCTATAGGGGTTAATACCCAAGAATGATGTAAACCAAACAAATTGAAAACACATTTCTTTCTGGCTCAGGTTTGTGGAGTGGTGCTGAAGCTCAGGTTACTCTACCTGTGAAAGTAACCTGCTAAGGGACAGAAGTGGATTCAGTGCTATCTCATTCCATCTCTCTGATCACCCTGTTACTGTTTTCTTGAAAGATTTAGAGGTCATGTAACTGAGCAGACGGGGGCCCGTCCACGTGGCACCTTGGTACATGACCCAACAATTTATGCTGGAAGGAACAGGTCTTTATTTACAGTTTTCCAACTTTGGGGAGGATGCTTGGAGCACTTCACCTCGGAGCCCTCCTTTCCCACGAGACCCAGCACTTCCCTTGCTCCCCAAAAGGCTATAAGCCAAAAGCAAACCCAATAATCCCCCATATTATCTTAGGCTGGCTGTGCAAACAGTTCTCCAGTCTCTCTGGAAGGTACCAAAGTCACCATCCTCACTCACCAGCTCTCTCCTTCAGGATCTGGGGTATGTTGTCTTCAGCCTCCATGTAATAGCCCATGAAAGACATAAGTCCCGAGAGTCCAGATAGCGTCTGGATTTGCAAGTCGACAGGTCAGCATCTTAGAAGGGAGTCCTTGGTGTCTCCTGAGTCAACGAGAGCAGGTACAATTAAAGCAGCAACATGTTTTCTTCCTTATTACACCAGGCTGCATGGCTGGATCCTGACTACAGACTACATAGTTACTTGCTTACTTCCTCCCTCTCACATGGCTGCTACCTCATCCCTCCCTCATGGCTCTTGTACTCCCTTACAAGCCGCATGGCCAAATCTCTCATGGCTGTCCACCCTTCATTTAAATCCTAACCCAGAGCCTTCTGCATGACCCCATTTCAGACTCCTTCCACAATGGGCTGTGTTCTGCCAGTCCACGGTACAGTGTACATTATCTCGGCTGCTATCCTTTGTCAGGGCAGATGTGTCTCTGTGCTACAGGGGAATCGCCTCCCTGCTCCTCACATAGGTGCTGTAAGCCCCCCACCCTACTTGAGTCAAAGTCACACCCAGTGAAGTCACAGCACAGCACTTAACTATCAAACTAGCCAAGTTGCCATAGATATGCAAAGTACCTCTCGATTGCCATCCTCCTCTTCCCCCATCCCCCAAACCATGGTTTGTGGGGAATATTCTGTGACCCCTGCACTACACCCTTTTATCCTAAGACAGAGAGAAATCTGCTCTTTCCCCAGTTTTTTAGCAGCTCTATCAGATTCTAGGGACGAGTGGCGCACCAGAAAATTGCCCATAGAGTTAATGTTCCTGAATGTGAATGCATCTAGTCCACAACTTTGGCCCAATAGCCTCTGCCTTCAGTTGAGGTGGGTATGGTTCCTCTAAGCAGGTCACCTACATCTCTCCCCTTTTTGGGACCTTTTCCCCAAGGAAAGCCAAAAAGTATTCTCCCTGTGGCACCACTGAGCATAAGCAGATGTTATGATTCCCATTGTGCAGGCTTGAAAAATAAAGGTCCCCAAAAGCCCATCCACATACCTGAAGTCAGAATGCTGGTACTGAAGTTTTCATTCAAGCATTATTGTGTTACACTTAAGGTATATACCTTCACTAAGCCTGCTAATGTTTCCTTAGCCCTTTTAACACAAACACCAGCAGCAACAACAGCTGATACTTCTAGAGTGCTTACTATGTGCCTGGTACTGTTCTAAGTGCTTTCCATTGACTAGTTTATTTAACCCTCACAATACACTTGTGTGGCAAGGTCCTCTTACTATCCCCAAGATCAAGGTGCCAGCAGGGCTGGTTTCCTCTGAAGCCTCTCTCCTTGGCTTGGATAGAGCTGCCCACTTGCTGCCTCTTCCTATGGTCTTTCCTCTGTGTATACATATCCCTGGTGTCTCCCTGTGTGTCCAAATTTCCTCCTCTTAAAAGAATACCCATCAGATTGGATTAGGGCCTACTATTGATGGCTTTACTCTGTCTCCAAATACAGTCACATTGTGACGTACCCGAGATTATTAGGGCTTCCACATATGAATTGGATGGGTGGCATAAGTCAACCCTTAATAGCTTTATTACTCTATACAGAAAACAACATTTCTCTCTCCTCCCCTCTTTCTCATCCTTCCTTCCCTCCCTTCCTTTTTTCCCTCTCTCTCCTTCTTCCCCTCTCTCATGGCAGATTTGCTATTATATTTGTTGTCATATACTTTCCAAATAAATGGCAAGCTGCAGCCAGGCAGCTTATCAAGAATGCTCAAGTACCCTGGCTAGTGTGGCTCAGTGGATTGAGTGCCGACTTGCAAACCAGAGAGTCGCGGTTCGATTCCCAGTAACGGCACATGCCTGGGTTGTAGGTCAGATCCCCAGTAAGGGGTGTGCGAGAGGCAATCACACATTAATGTTTCACTCTCTCTTTCTCCCTTCCTTCCCCTCTGTCTAAAAATAAATAAATAAAATATTTTTAAAAAAATAATACTCAAGTAATGTTTCTTAACATCAAAATTTCTGTAATGAG